TCCATGTATATGTTGTAGTTCAATTTTACTCTTGGTGCAATTTAGCAGCTTCCTTTGTTTGAAATGCATCATAATATACTACCCGGCACACACCAAAAGAAAGGTTAATACTAAATTGCACGAAGGGCCAATTGGCAGCCCCAATCAGTATAGCAAGCCTTAAGCAAAATACGTAGTCTCCATCCCTGGTCGTGGTTATCATATACCCAGTATCTAAGCATACAATATTTAGGCTTACACAAAGTATATGTACCCCCACAAATACTCGTGTGATACCATTTTGTAGCTGGTGAGAACCTCCAAACCCAACTTTCATGAAACTTTTTCTTTATCCTTAAGGTGTAAATTATTTTTACTTAAAAGGCGATCTGCATGATGGCTTCATATGAATGACTACAAGTATCAGAATTCTTCACTTTTTCTTATAATTTTCTTTCATGCTCGCTACAGCAATTGTTATTGAAACCCCCAGCGTGATTTAAAATTCTAAATAATAAAGGAGTAACGAATTCGAAATTAATCCTGGAAGTTGTAGACAAATTAAAACATCGGTTTAAGACATAGCGTTCTGTTTCAGTTGCAATAAAAATGTCAGTTGTGTTCAATGCAATGTTTGTGTGAACAAGAGAGGGTGCGGAAATTGATTATACCTGCCTGACATGTCTTGACGCCATTTACAAGGGATTGTTCTATTATGATGATTTCAACTTACTAACCGTTTACACGACAACCCTGCATTTTATGCTAATAAATAATCAGCAAATAAATACTCTTTGCCATTGATCAGCCTCTTTAAAAATTGGCATCAACAGCTATGAAGCAGTTAGTCATTTTGAGAGAAATTGTTATAAAAAAAGTTAATGAGAAAGTGAAAAACTTTCAACACGTATCAGCTCTCAAATACCCCTAAACTGTTACTTATTTAGCAGGTCTTAGTGCATAGCTTGATGTGAAACACTGAAGTATTGCATTCCACGTGCATCTCAAAAGAGAAATTGGAAGCTTGTCGAGGTGGTCAACCATGTCTTAAATAGGAGGGGGTTACAAATCTTTGTCTTCAATGAGAAGATCTTTTAAATCTCTCAAATATTCACAAATTCATGACTTGGCACTCATTTTTGGTGTTCGTATGGTTGGAGTACCACTTAGTTTTACTGTGTAAGACTCGTTAAGGTCGAAATGGGCTAAGAGCATTGAAGTGCCGTGAAAACAAAAGGCCTAGGCAATACAGAGACTCTCAAAACTTTGTTATTGTTCGTCTTCAATCATGTTGAACAGTATTGACAATAAAACTGTATGCAAATATTTTGAATGATTCCGGCGGTTAAGAACACGCGGCTTCTTTTTGTTATTGTTCAGTTTGGTATTTAGACGAGTCGAATTCAGTTAGACACATTCAAGGGGCCGGTATTCCTCGAGGACTGTTTTGGTAAGATCCAGCTCTTTAACCTTATATATAAAGCTAACAAAATCGTTTGAAACTCAAATAATTTGTCAATAATGTGCGTGCTAACGGAATTTTGATATTTGAATCGAAGCACACAAAGTAGTACTCTAATTGAAAGCGCACCTCAGATCGGCGCTATGCCACTCTGACTGTTGACTGTTCATTTTCCCACCTGTGTCTCATTCGACAGTTTTTCAGTTAGTCGTTTCATCGCTCGATTAGACGATTAAATGTCGCAGGAGGTAGTATTTTGGCCTGTTTGTCCGCTTCTTTTATACGAGTCATTTATTTGACGATCTCAGCTCGTGTCGCTTTTCTGGGGATTCCGTTAGACAATAACTTATAACGTCAGTGTCCACATATTCTTTTGACGGCGAGCTTACATGAATCATCTCTACCTCAAACGACCAACGTCTTTCAAATACTTCTCAAACTGCTTGCATCATTTGATAGGGCTTGATGCTGAAAGAATTGAGTCAACTGGATTTACCCGGTAAATTTTGTTTTCAAGAGATTGGCATGGCTAGAAGTGAGACAGTCTTGAGGGTATTCCAGAGTATACCCAAAAATTAGATGGTGAAACTATTCAATATGATTAAGTTGTTACTCTAAAGTATAAATTAGCTGAATTAGCAGGAATTTTAGCCAAAAGTAAGCTTATGACGTACAAAATGAGTGATATTTTCCGACACGATCTTTTAATATCTGACACGATTAACGATTGCCGTTAGAGAACGTATATGACTAGATTTCGACTGAATGCAATGTTTACAATACGGAGACAACCTAAAACGAGAAAATGCAGCGGGGTACGTACCAGTGTATTATAAAAGAACTTATTTCAGACCTGAGGGAAAAATGCTGAGAGGAGGCCAGCATGTGTAATTATTACGAAATAGCTTATAAATAAAGAAAGAAACGTGATCAACATACATATAAAAAACTCTATCAAAGTTAACAAGTTGAGATATGCTGTAAATTTCATATTAGAATGAATTTGTCTTTTTCTTCGGTGCTAATAGTGTTTGTGTGACTTAACATCATACGAATGATATAAGTAAAAGCGGCTACGGACTTATTGGAGGTCTTATTGCGGTCATATATACCGGGCCACGCGTTTCGTGTACAGTTCAATGACTAAATATAAAGATTACATTGCTAAGATTCCTTATCAGTGCTACCACAATAACATAAAGCTTAATAGGTCGGTTCAACTTAACTACTAAGGCTGCAAATAACCTTTCATATATGAATAATCAATTGCCTACGACAATTCGTCCTCTACGCGCTCAAACACGTTCTCAGACGAAATTCTTTGCACCAGCAGGGTCTGATATTGGAAGAGGTAAAACATCGTGTGCGTGTAGAGTCCATAATTACTCGTGTCAGCACTTATCATCTCTAAGTTGATGAATTGTGCAGAAAATTTATTGTGTTAATTACTAAGTGCTTCAACTGGTCACTGAAGCAAAACCACAGTTTTTTGTCTAAGAAGCAGTCTCGTTTCCCTTAACCAGCGGTCGGAAAACGAGAGCTCTGGGAGCAACCATTTCAGGCGTGCGCCATAGATGCAGACTGCGCAGTGAAACCGGATGGGCAGAGTTCGGTTTTTTCAAAATGGTTGCTCCCAGAGTTCTCGTTTTCCGACCACTGGTCAAGGGGAACGAAGACTGGGAACGAGATTGTCTAAGAAGTTGTTCTCGCTACTGTATAGGCTGGTACAATCGCGCATGCGTTATTTCTAGACTTTTGATACCCGAGATAACCCAGTATTCATGTACCACAATCCAAGTCTGTGGTTGGTTCAATTTTTGTAATCAAGAACGCCGAACGTTACTGGATTTGTATTGAATTCCTTAAAAGGGCTCAGTCTCGGCATTTTGAGTTACTTTGGCCACGTACAAAACTACATTTAAATTGAAGGAAACCTAAAAAGATTAATTTACTAAGATAGAAAAACACCAAAGAGATAACAATAAACCATAAAGGAACAACGATCGTTAAGGGTGGAGAAGATTAGCACGGATTGCAATCGAGGAACTTAAAAATTTAGTTCAAACATTTCCAAGCTGCTCAAACCATGACGAAGCTAGTTTAATTGCGTAGCCATTCATTTGGATTAACCCCTTTCACTGAACTGTCAGCAAAGTTTCCTTTTTTGCTAATTTAAGAATTATCACCAACCTTGACAATCTTATAATTAAAAACATGACCTTCCGCTAGACTAGAATAGTTATGATTAAATAAATATTAATTGCGCCTGCATAAATAGCTCGGGATTTTTTTTTGTTTTGTTTTGTTTTGTTTTTTTGGCTAGTCTTACATCTTTACTCTATCGCCATTCTCTTCTCGATTTTGTTATCGGAAAAACTCCAATACAATTTCCAAATTCTTTTTGGTGATAAAAATGCTTATTTAAATTTTGATACCACTGTACTAAACAAACGAAACGATATCAAGTTCATAGACCTCATGGCTAGCATTATTGTCAACGCAGGGTGAAAAAGCAAAATAAAATTAACTCCCCGTCAATATACACCTCAGTATAACAATTAGTTTACTTATAAAGCATTCATATTTAAATTTATAAAGCTGCCGTGATGACGATTTCCTATTAACTCTTTTATTTTTGAAAAGGCTGCATCATCCTTTTGACAACCTAACAAAACTATTTCTCAAAAGATTATGTCACAAAGCGCAGCTTTAGTTTTATTGCATTTAACGATGTCTTTTCTCCTCCGAAATTTATTGAACTTTTTCACGATCATCAAAATGCTTGTTGGAGTGTATTTTACTTATTTAGCAAAGATCTTTACAGACCAAAGATAGTCGGTTGAAAATCATAATATAATTAGTAGAACCCCTCTAGCTTTTCCCCAAGTGACATCCTTAACAAACTTGACGAGGAGGCAGAAGTTGTGTCTGAAATTAAATTTAGCTTCTAAATATGTAACTGCCTTTCTAGGGAACAATGAAATATTTTTCGGCACAGAGTCCTTTACTCCTCATCAAGGTCACTCTTCTGTTAACAGCATGCCCTGGATTGTAAGTATATTTTAAATTTTAGCTTGTGTGGATAGTTAAAGTATTTTAATTTCATTTTCAATCCTGAGTTGAAACTCTTTTGCTTAATTTGCCAAGCGTACACCATCGTAAAACTTAACAAACGCTTTGAATTGCTTCTTACATGTACAGATCTAATGGCGATGTGATTTCAAAGCTTTTCGCCGACTACGACAAAGCCTTAAGACCTGATTTTGGTGAGTACAGATCTTGCATTCAATATAGGCAAATTCTATCATTTGTTTCGACTAAGTTGCAGCTGATTAAAATGCATATGACTGCTGCGGGTAAATTTCTCACACAAGGTTGATTAAAACTACCAATAGAACTTACTATCGAGACTTTGACAGAATTCTCTATTTATCAGTAATAAAGAATGCATTGAAGAGGTGAAAGTTTTTTTTTTTTTATTTAGAAAGCGGCAAACCTACGGTCGTGCAATGTTCTTTGACTGTCGAATCTTTTGGCAACCTTGAAGAGGCTAATATGGTATGTATATATGTATCATTTTATCGTTTTCAGATCCCTAAATTGATTTCTTTCATGATAAATTTTATTCTCAATTAACGGTAATATTCGCATTACTGACGAACGATTACAATTTTCATTGCGAGAAATCTCGCTTTAATTTGAAGAAAGAAGTAAGTAAACCTCATGGACCAGCACGCGAATTTAACACGTGACTGAAACATAGGCGAAGTAGCCTGCAGTAAAGGCAGCTTAGCCTAGCCGGGGGAATGCGAATTACACCTCGCTATCAACCTGGCGCCTCACGCTCGTTTTATTATCGCTCTCGGCGCTCTTTCCCGCCAAACCACCTGCTATGCAATTTGCGACGATGCGACTTTTAATTGAGGCAAAAGAAAACAGAAATTTGAGAGAATTTCATAAATAACCTCTTAGTGACACTAAGCTGAAGATCTGATACCATTAAGAGCTGGAAAGTTTCCATTTGTGAAAGTTAGGTTTGTTGATCTGTCATATATACCTGTCATAATGATACCTTAACTCGTTTTAAATTCAATTCAACGTTCATATCACTTCAGACTGCAATGTGGTGTTGTGTCCAAAGGCAGTCGCGGTAATTTAGAACTACAGAGTAATATCTAGCTTTCCCATGGAAACGATGTGATTTTATTATTATTATTATTATTATTATTATTATTATTATTAT